TTTTTTTTTCTTTTCATTTCTTAAACTAATAAATCATCTCACAGGAAGCGACTTTTCAACATGATCAATGATCTTCCCACAGTATTTGAAGTTGTGACTGGTGCTGAGAAGAAACAGCAGAAAGAAAAATCTTCAGTCTCAAATCACAGTATCAACAAATCCAAGTCAAACTCTAAATCAGTAAGAGAAGGCTTTATAACACAAAGAAGTTATTTCATTGGTTATAATTGAATATTTGGAGTAAATGGTATGATAATCACGGCAGTGACAAATCAAAGTTTTGAGTTCGAGTAATTATTATTTTATTTCATTGCTCTGCTTTCTCATTCTACTCATTCTTTTATTTGATTTACTGCACAACACTTTGATGAAAGTCTGCTCAAAACATTTAAGTGCAATTTTAGAGTAAGCTGAAAACGATACTTCTAACAGCATCTAGTCCTGCTCATTTAATTATATCTCTATCATTAGGTTTTTCCTTTCTTGGTGATATCATCACTTTTGCACCTTTTGATGGAAACAGCGAGCGTCTGAATCTCAGGAAAAATTGTCAAAGTCAGAGCCAAAAGATGAAGATGAAGGCTTTGACGAGGAAGAAGACGAGGAACATGGTGAGACGCTTTGTGGTGCTTGCGGAGAGAACTATGCATCAGAGGAATTTTGGATATGCTGTGATATATGTGAGAAGTGGTTCCACGGCAAGTGCGTGAAGATTACACCAGCTAGAGCCGAGCATATCAAACAGTACAAGTGTCCGTCGTGCAGTAATAAGAGGGCCCGTTTTTGATGTGGAATATGAATCATATTTTATGTATTCTTGATAAACTTCTTTTAAGTCTTTGCTGTTTTGGTCATTTCTTGTTTGGTGATACATGTAGAATTAACCTTGTGAATGGTACTCTTGCTAGGCAGTCTTGCACTTGGTATATTATTTTCTTCTCGTGGTTGGCATTTGTCCTCTGTTTTAGTCGACTCCATCTGTTGGACCATCGCCTTCTCTTTAAATATGCAGGAATCTCAGTTTGTTTTCTTGATGATATATTCTCTGTTGAAATTATTTGGAATTAACACTTTCCCTGTAAATCACAGTTCTTTATATTTTCATGTTCGTCTTAATAACCATTCTGTAGCAATCCAATCCACAAACCTACAAATCATATTGCAAATCAATGCA